GGAAGGCATTGAGGAAATGTTTACTAAGTTAAGGTTACCATAACGATACTGGGAAGAAGCTTAGCCAGATGATGGCAATTCTTAGAGCCAGTTCTGTGTAGGAATCCATACTGGGTATTGTAGCAATACAAAAGTCACAAGTACAAAAGTGTATCGGTGTTAGACTCTTACTACTTTTCCCCTTTTTATTTTAATTTTTTTACATAATTAAATATATCATTTTGAATATATTCTCATTATAAAAATGTTGAAAATACAGACAACATATAGAGGAACAAAAAATCTCTTAGCATTGCCACCCAAATGTAGCCTCCTGTCATCTCCCTGGGTATTTTCTTGTGATCTTTATTTTCAATGTACATTTTTACATAGTTCTATGTACTTTTATATTCAACATTTTTCTCTTAACCATAAATATTTTTAAAGGTGATATTATTCACTGCATGAAATAAATGTATTCTAGTCTTAATTTGCTTAACTTTTCTTCTACTCTTGGGCATTGAGGTTGTATACACTTTTTTCTATTATAAATATTTAGTTCAAAAGTATGAATATTTTATAGAATTTTATTAGTGATAGCTAAGTAGGTTTCCCAGATATTTTAACTTATTTATCCACAACATGTGTCAAAATTGCCAGTGCTGCTTCTCATTAGGTGTTGATATTTGAAATTGTTTTTCTAGCTTTCGTAAGTGAGAAATAGACTGGATCAGGTAAGAGAAGGTTTATTGGAGTGGTGCAAGCGGGCAGCTCTCAGAGCCCCTGGCAGGCAGCAGGAAGCACCGCTGTGACGTGGGAGGGCCTCCCACTTGGTGGACAGAGCCCCATGAGGATCTCCCTTGTCCCCAACTGGCCGCCCGCCCTGCTCCAGCTGCCATCTTCCTGGTCTCCTTTGGGTTTCCATTTGCCTGCCCCTGTGTCGTTGCATGCTCATGGTGTCTATCTGCCTGTCTCTGTGCCTCACACTCTGCATTTCTCTGGGACTCTTATCTGTCAGCCTCTCTTCTCTTTTAGTCTCTGCCTCCCTCTGTCTGCCCCACTGTCCCATAATCACCCCTGCTTGCTCCTCTCATGGTTAAAAATAGCTGCCCTGGCAGTCCTACTCATCTACTGAGTTCAGTGGTCTTCAGAGTCTGCCTAGGTCACTGTGTGTCTAACTTCCAAATTCTTCCACGTTCTGAGGAAGGGAATCAGGTTGGCTCAGCTAGGTCAGCACAGTGGCTGCTCTTGGTTGAGGTCACTCTAGTGGCCAGGGAGACATGAGGCACAGACCCGGATACTGACTCACCCTGAGAGTGGAAGAGGCTGGTTCTAGGAGCAGGTTGCTGAGGAGTGGAGATGCTCTTCTAGCCCTGACTTCCCAGTCCTGAGGAGCTCCACTCTGTAGAGAGAGGTCAGCAGGCGTGCTTGGGCTCCTCTGTGGGCCTAATGATGGGCCTTTCTAGATAGATAATCTATCTTGATTGATGGAAACTATCTTCTAGGATTAGATTTGCTGTTCTGAACTGAGGAAGATTTGCTTAATTGGTTCCACCTCTGATTCTGGGTGTGTGTTGGGGTGGGGGAGGTATGTGGTGGTTGTAGTGTAGAGTATCTCTGATGGTCTTGTTTATATGTTTTTTTCTTTTTCTTATTCTTTTCCTTTTTTTCTTCAACTCCCAAAACTGTAAGCAAACTTGCTTTTTTGTTTGTTTGCTGCATCGACCCTAAGGTAATAAGCTTACTTTGGAATCAGAATTAGCCCTGTGGTTCTCCCTGAGAGGGTGGCCCATCATTTTCACCAAGAGGTGGGGTCGGGGGGACAGGGTTGGACAGAGATCCTTGACCTGAAAACCTGAAGCAGGACTGGGGGATTACAGAGTTCATAGCAAGACTGTGAGTCAGAAGCAGGTGGTCAGGCTAGAATGAGGTCAGACTGAGGACCAGGGCAGAGCTGGCAGCTCTGTGGAAGTCACAGGAGAACCAGGAGAGGGCATAAGGAAATGGGGGAAGGGCTAGTGAGATTAGCCTGCCATTTTACACACTTCCCTTGGGTTTTACTGTAACGATGAATCACATAGTGCATTTTATGTATTTAATTGTTTAATGAGAAAGTCGTGTTTGTAGAACCAGACTCTAAAAGCACCACAGTATCCACTGAAAACTTAATTTCCCTCCCACCCTGGTCACTCAGCCATACAATTCCCTTGAGAGGGAATTGTTCCCTGGTTGAGAATATCAAGGCACAAGGAAGCAGATTTGCTCAAGGTCACATTGCTGGCAAGGACAAGCCACCTTTCTAACACCAAAGTTTGTGCTCTGCCCATTCCACTTCACTGTGCCCTACTAGGACTTTTTGTAACACAGTCCAGACAGTAAAGTGTTTGTAGATAGTTTGTATTTTTTAACCTTCTATTTTCTATTTCTCACCTAAATAATGTCTTTTCTGAGGCCAAGCCAATCCTGTTAATCCGCATTGCACTGTATGTAAATTACTTTGCAGTAGTTAAAAAGTAAATAGCATTCACAATACTAATGATGTTAGAAGTATAGAGATCTGGCCAACTAGGTGGCTCACGCCTGTAATCCCAGCACTTTGGGAGGCCGAGGTGGGTGGATCATGAGGTCAGGAGATCGAGACCATCCTGGCTTAACACTGTGAAACCCCGTCTCTACTAAAAATACAAAAAAATTAGCCAGGCGTGGTGGTGGGCTCCTGTAGTCCCAGCTACTTGGGAGGCTGAGGCAGGAGAATGGCGTGAACCTGGGAGGCAGAGCTTGCAGTGAGCCGAGATCACACCACTGTACTCCAACCTGGGAGACGTGAGACTCATCTCAAAAAAAAAAAAAAAAAGTGTAGAGATTCCATAAGCATTTTTGAGGTGGCTGCTATGTGCCAGCCTCTCAGCTGGGTGCGAGACATAGAGGTGGTGAAAAATTGAATCTGTATTGATCATAGATGTTGAGAAACTGCCAAAAGTCATGAATCTACTTTTACTAATCTACTTTTCGTGTATCTTCCTTATAAAATACATTTTTGAAAACTCCAGCAATTTGGCTTTCTGTAAGAATGGCAAGTTCTTAAAAATTCCATAATGTGAACTCATGTTTGTTTTCATTTCCAAATTAGCAGAATTGTACTGAGGTTAGAACTCTGGGATAGTAGCTTAAGGAAGCCACAGGTCCTTCCTTCCCTCAGGCTTTAGAGATCCCTTGTGAAGGATTTGTATGTCTCAGTGGGAGTAGGATGGAATTCTCAATGTGGACCATGCCCTGTATTTGCTCCCCAGTTTAGGGTACCTGAGAGGTACCCTAGAGGGTACACTGTTTCTATTTCCTGCTGCTGCAGCCAGGATGCTTCCACTTCTGAGCCACATTCTGGAGTTGACCTTGGAAGGCGTGATTAGCTTGAAGTGCATTGCATAGGCCTCTCTGGGCTGGCCTAGGCACATGACCAAACATCTGTGAAAAAATGTGTTTTGAGTAGTGCCAAAGAGCTGATTTACAATTACCTTTTGGAGCTCAACCTCTCAAAAGTTGGAATTGTCTGTGCTTGCCCTGTTCATGTTGTTCATTTGACTGCAGACAGAGCAATTCAGGCTTTTCATTAGCCTGTGTCATTCTTTGGATTCGTGATGGGTTGATTTGTGTGAATATGGGTGTACATATGTGTATCTATTTTAGCCTACATCATGATATTTCTGAGAATTAGAGTTGTTGTAACTTTTTTTTTTAAAATGTGGGCTTGAGTCACTGCTAAATGTAAAGCAAGCATGTAGAGCAAAGATCAACCAATTGTTTCAGAGTTTGAAAGTCATTTTCATGTCACATCCAGATTAGACTTTTAGTCACTCTGTAAAGATTTTCATTAGACCTTGGATTACACATAAATAGATGCTCAGAGATCTAAGCTGGTGCTGCCTCCTGGGATAGAAGAAAGCCTTTGAGATCTTAGAAGACCCCAGGTTCATTACTGGATATAGTTGTCAACAACTTCTCAGGTGAGTTCTAGGATGACTAATGTGGTAGCAGGATTGACAAGTCTTGTCATAATTTGTACAGGTGTTTCAATGTGTAGAAGTTGAATTTGACCTCTGACTTTTGCTATTTCATTCTTTCATTTCCATGAGTTCCTAGATGGTATAGATTTAATAGGCTTTATGTAGACTGATCCAAAATCACAGGGTTGATTTTATTTTATTTTGATTTTATTTGGTCATTTGTTTTCAACTGAGCTTGCTATCTTAAAGCAGTCTTGGTGGGGTTTTCATAACGTTCTTGTTGGAGTTTTCAAGGGAGTTTTACATTTAGATATAATTCACATACCACAAAATTTACTCTTCTGGAATATATGTCGGTAATTTTTTTAGTATATTCACAAAGTCTTGTTACCATCACCACTATGTAATGAATCTCTATCACTCAAAAAGAAACTCCATATTACTTTATTTCCTTCAGCCTCTAGCCAGTCCCTGGCAAACATTAATCTATTTTCTGTCTCTATAGATTTGCTTATTCTGGACATTTTATATAAGTGGAATCATATAATATATGGCCTTTAAAAAAAACTGTCCTCATTCACTTAGTGTAATGTTTTACATGTTCATACATGTTGTAGCATGACTCACTATTTAATTTCTTTTTATGAATTAAATAATATTTCATTGTGTGGATATTCTACTTTTTATGCATTCAGTTAATAGACATTTAGCTTTTTCTACTTTTTGACTATTATAAATAATGCTACTGTGAACATTCCTGTGTAAGATGTCGTGTAGACATACATTTTCATATGTCTGGGTTTATACCCGGCAGTGGAATTGCTGGGTCACATGGTAACTCCATGTTTAACTGCCAGAAGGTTTTCCAAAGTTTACGTTCCCATCAAACTGTATAAGGTCCCAGTTTCTCCACATCCTTGATAACACTTGTTATTGTCTGTTAATTAATTTTATATAAACATTTTAGTGGTATCTCATTTTGGTTTTGATTTGTATTTCCTTAATGGTTAATGACATTGAGCATCTTTTCATGTGCTTATTGGCCATTTTTTGTGGCTTCTTTGGAGGAGAAATGTTTATTGTAGTTATTTGCCCATTTAAAATATTGGGTTATTTGTTTTTTTATTATTGAGTTGTAAGAGTTCTTTATTCTGCATATTAGACCTGTATCAGATGGTCAGCAAATATTATCTCTCATTCTGTGGATTGTCTTTTTATTTTCTTAATATTGCCCTTTGAAGTGCAAAATGTTTTAATTTTGATAAAGTCTAGTTTATCACTTTTTCCCCCCTTAGTTGCTTGTGTTTCAAGTGCCATATATCAGAAACCATCACCTAATCTGAGGTCAGGAAGAGTTACCCCTGTGTTTTCTTCTTAGAGTTTTATAGATTTAGCTCTTGCATTTATGTCTTTGGTCCATTTTGAGTTAATTTTTGTACATAGTGTGAGGTAGAGGGCTCAGCTTTATTCTTTTGCATGTAGATATCAAGTTCCAGCACCAGCACCATTTGTTTTAAAGGCCTTTATTCCCCCTTTGGATTATCTAGGCCCTTTTGTCAAAAATGAATTGACCATAAATGTGAGGGTTTAATGTCTACATTCTCAATCTTATTCCACTGATCTGTATGTCTGTGTTTATGCTAGGACACGTTGTCTTGGTGCCTGTAGCTTTGTAGTAACTCCAAATCACAGTGTGACTCCTCCAACTTTGAAAATACTATTTTTTGATGTGTTGCTGATGTCTGTCCTTCTCCCACACGTATTTTGAGATATCTTTTCTTTGTCATCATGAAGTCATATTGGAAATGCTATTTGAAGTGGCCATGAATTCATTTTCAGATCTAACCTCGGTATTTATATACAAGGTGTGGATTTGGATGGAATCAGACATACTCCAAAAATTTGGCCACTGGCTCTGTTTCTTAACCATAAAATGAAACTCTCCCAAATCAAAGGGTAATTCTGGGAATTAAATGTGACATACGTAAGAGCATCTAGCATTGTACCTGGGAAATATTAGGTACAAAATTTATGTCTGTTGCCTTTTCTATCCCCTTCTCATGGATGCAGAAGCTTTCTTGGTACCTTGTAATACAATTCTAAATTCTTCCTGAAAATCCTTCTTTTTCCGTTTAGAAACTGTTTTCTCCAGGGTCATCATAGGAATTGGAATTACTGAATTTTCTAGTCTGTGCTGCAATATTTGTATCATGTTTCAGACTAAGTTCACTGCTTTATCTCCAGTGTCTAAAACTGTGCCTGACCAATAGTAAGTGATCAGTGAACATTTGTTAAGTGAATACTAAATGTTGATCCCATTTTCTTATTTGCTTGGATAAATATAAAGTTAATTGCTTGCATATATGTTTCTAAGTGAGCCCACATAACAGTTGTGTGAATGTTTAATTACTGAGGTATTTTCCACAAGATTTTTATGAGTAGTTTATCCAGCTGACCTAGTATTTTAACTTTCTTGAGTGGCACTTCTTTCTTCCAAATACTCACATGTTCCCATCTAGATATTTTCTCTGTGGGGTAATTCCAGACCAAAATAGGAAGGATTGAGTCTGGGTAGTAAAGTTTAAACAGCAAGTGGAGAGGGGAGTGGGATATTGGGGATGGCAAAGACATGTGGTCATGAGAACCAAGGAGGGAAACTTACGGAGGATAGGGTCAAGTAGGAAAGCACACTGCCAGCTTCTGACCATTGCCATGTTGTTTATGTGACAGTCAGTTTCTCATGACTCTGTTGACCTCTCAGGTCTATACATGAAACTATAAACAAAGAGTTTCCAGGTATCATTACTGGCTGCTGTGAGCCTGATACACACTGAGAAATGGCACCTGTCTTGTTATTATGTGCATCGAGAATAAGCCAACCTTTATAGGTAAGAGTGCAAGTCATTTTGTGGGCTTGTAGGATCCTGTCTAGGATCAGCCTAGACAGGATCGTCAGGCTGAAGGAGTGTTGGTAAATGGGAAAGTGTTGCCTGAGAGAATGGATTCCATTATCAAATAGGTTTGGAATGAGTTCAACCAAGTTAACAGGTTTGGGTTTCGTTGTTGTTGTTTTTGTTGTTTAACTTCAGAATTTCTCAGAGCCTGTAATGTGCCAACATATGTTACATGGTGTCTTTAAGAGTGAATGTAAGAGCAGGACTTCCCAAAGATGACTAAAAGGCTCCCACAGAGAACCTTCGGGGACTGGTACTTGCCAGGGCATATTTTGCATAGTTATGGTTCAGGGTAATGCCTTTATTTCTCAGACATGAAGTCTTATTCTTTAGTCTTTTTCAGTTGCTGTTTCTAAGAACGGTCATGTCTGCTGATAGATAACATAGAAGCTGACTGTGTCTGTTCTCTTACTAAGAACTGTCACAAAAATGAGAGCTTAAATTAGGAATTACAAAAAAATTGATGAAACTGTCTGTATAAGTGTATATATATAAGTTACAAAATATCCTGTGCTCCAGGATATCAATATTTGGGTTTTTAAAATCTGTTACTTGTATTGCTCAGTCTGTGTGGTGCCTGATAATCCTTGATATAGCAAACTTGAAAATTTGATTTCTGTGGATTTTGTTCTAATGCACACTCCTTAAGATGGAGAACAAGGAAGAGGCAGGAGGACAAACTATGGAAAACATGACCACTGACTTCTGCTATAGAATAAACAGAATATGGACCACTATCATGGTACTGTGGTAGTAGATAAGCTTGTCACTGGAATGCATTCTTGGAGTTCTGTGGTAGAGCAAATTGTATGTAGTTACAAACGTGGGTGCAGCCCTCTCTATTCCTAGGAATTCTTTTTCCTTCCCTCTCTCTACCCACACACTCATCCGTCCTTCCTTCTTCTAAGTCATCAAATAGGAGTTATTTATTTAATTTTCTAAAGAGAGAGAGAGAAATGGGAGAAAATGGAAGATGTCTTAGTGGCTGCTAGTAAACCTGGTTTGTGTGTGTTGGTGCGTGTCACCATTGTGGTGTAACAGCAGCACAGCTGGGAATCCCAGCATGGGTAATTTCCATTGACATCTCTAGTGAAAATACCCAAACACCACGTTTTTCTTATCTGCATTGTCAGGGGGTTTCTACACTTCCCTACTAGATGATGGTGTTGGGAGGAGTGATACTAGGCAGATTCTTTCACCTGAGAGCATGGCACATAATGTACCTCCAACAATTGAGACACAGCCAGAGAAGAGGGTCAGGGAATGAAGAAGACTGATGGAGGTATATGAGTCAGAATCTGAGGTTGGGGAGTGTTGGGGGAAATGAGAGAAACACAGATCGGGTGAACAAATGGAAAAAGAACCATGCAAGCTAGAAAGGTAATTGCTGTTTTATTTTTACTTCAGTGATGTTTCCCTAATTTTAAAAAATTAGGCAAAAGAAAAGGAAGTTCAAAGGAGAAAGTAAAAAAGCTCAAGCAGAAGATAACAAATGTTAACATTTATTTCAGCCATGCCTTTGTACAAACAGTGAGAGAGGAACAGAAGGATGGATAAATGATGGGCAGAAATAATTGTGTAAGACTGGGTTCAAACAAAACATGGCTTTAAAAGTAAAACATTCAATTTGATGTTACTTGAATTTAACAAAAGGGAAATAAATTGTCCATTTTCTGAAAAGTAATTCTGTAGCATAAGAGTATTTGTTCTCTTAGGTTCAGAAAAGAGATGAAAACCGTCACGAGGTTGGGAGTCAGGATGGATTGAGAATAACAGGAAAACATGATAAACATCGAGTGCCTTCTCCCTCCGTCCCTGCCTGGCTTTCTGATGTATGCTGCTTGTTTTATTTTTGTTTTGTTAGGCTTTATAGTTTTAACACTCTGTAGCTCTAATTTCCCCTGGGTATCCCTCTACCTATTTATTCCTAATCAATGTACTGTTAACCACTGGTCTTTTTACTATGGCTTTTCATTCTTAAAAATTTAATGGGCTGGGCATGGTGGCTTATGCCTGTAATCCTAGCACTTTGAGATGCCGAGGTGGGTGGAACACTAGGTCAGGAGTTTGAGACCAGTCCGGCCAACATCATGGTGAAACCCCATCTCTACTAAAAATACAAAAATTAGCTGGGCGTGGTGGCAGGCGCCTGTAATCCTAGCTATTTGGGAGGCTGAAGCAGGAGAATAACTTGAACGCAGGAGGCAGAGGCTGCAATAAGCCGAGATCGCACCACTGCACTCCAGCCTGGGCAATGGAGCGAGACTCCGTCAAAAAAATTAAATAAATAAATAAAATTAGTGTTTGGTGAGCAACATGGTGATTTTTTTTTTTTTTTTCCTTTTAGAAAGGGGTTTTGGGTGCCATATTCCTTGAGTTTGGAAATATTTCATGTTTGAGGATTATTATGTTTGGAATCATCTGTTGCCTTTATTTTTGAAAGACAACTTTTCTATTGTCAAACTGTCTTCTAAAGAGGTTGCTCACATTTCTAGTCTACTAGCAATTTATGAGAATGCCTACTTTCCATGGGGGAACTTTAAAGACTTTGCCTGAAATGATAGAACTCTATTGGGGAGTGGCTGAAGTAAGTTCGAGTTGGTAAATCAGTGGCCAGATTATGGAAAAACTTACGTGTTGGAGAATCAGCTATTTTCTTGGTGAGTTTCTCCTTTGTTTGACTGATTAACAACTTTCCAGCAGGTCAAATGAGAGCTATTGGGCAACTTTGTGGAACTGTTTACAGACTTTGTAAATTGTGTGGGAACCCTCTTAAAAGATTTCTCATTCTGTCTGCCTGCCCACTGTGGAAAGGCACCTGTCTGGCTGATGGTAGAGTTTGGTTGCCATCTGAAGATAGTAGAAAGTGGTAAATAATTTCATCTACTAAAAAAATTGGCATCTGATTTTTTTTAAGTGATAACTTTTTTGGTTATGAAGTATGGTCTTTTGCCTTGCCTGACAGTCTGCTGTCTTGATACTGAGCAGTCCTTATGAGCCATTGCTAAACGATTTCCATTTGAAGCTGTATAAGCTGGAGGGTCTGGTCCTGTAGGGCAACTCATCTCTTGTAGTGACACAGTTTGAAGTACCTGTAAGTTTACACTGGGCTTTTTACTAAAAAACCTTGCTGATCTCACGTAGAAAACCAATAGCCTGTTTCATCCTTTGTTTCATTTTATCCAGACAATAGAGGAAATGGGAAAGAAAATTACCCAGATGTGATTTCATACACTTAAGTTTTGGCCATCATACTTTGTGGTGACTCAGATGTACACCAGCCATTGACTTTTTTAGAGGAGGTGAGCAGGACACTCCTGGAAGATTTCAGGAGGCAGAAATGTGTCTAAGTTTGCCCATTTTGTGCTACAGAAAAAGGGGAGAAGATAGGTGGTTTAGAATGGTATGGCCTAAAACTGAGCTCTCCAGTATGGTAGATGTCAGTCATCTGTGGCTATGCAAATTTCAATAATTTAAAATGAAATAAAATTTAAAATTTAGTTTCTTAGTTGCACTGGCCACATTTCATGCACTCACTGGGGCAAGTGGCTGGAAGCTACAATATTGGACAGCATCAAGTTCTACCGGCTAGTAGATGCTACTGGCTGGTAGAACCTGATGCTGTCCAATACTGGCTGTGCTGTCCAATGGCTGGCTCTGGTCTGCATGCTGATCTTTTCTTTCCATGATCCTGCAGGGTTCATTCCAGCCTTAAGAGTTGGGCTCTTGTCTCTTCTCCCTTGTTACCTCTACTTTCTATCTTGAGCTTACTCACAGCGTGGTGGCTGAGTGGAAGGGCAACACCCTGAGACAACAGAACAAGCGTAAGTTACATTGCCATTTCTAATGCAACCTCAGAAGTCACGTAGCATCATTTCTGCCATAATTAGAAGCCACTCAAATTGGAAGGATGGGAATATAGAAGCCACCTGTTGATGAAGAAGTGTCACTGTCACTTTGTTAGAGGAGCATATGGGATGGGATGTACATTGGTGTGGTCATCTTTGAAAAATACATCTTCCACACCCAGTAATGAATCAGAACTGGCATCAGCTTGCTGTAAGCCATAAATAAGCCTTGACGTCTGCCTTGGGTCTGGAGACTGGGTGCTTCTCATTTTCGGGAGCGATGATGGTCATTGTTCTGTGCTGGGGCTGTTCTGTCTTTGGGTGTGAGGATGGGAGAGTTGCCTTTTGCATAGTACTCGGAGTTCTTTGATGAAAAACGGTAAGCACAGAATGGTTTATTAGAATGCCCTTAATGTGCTAAACTCCCTAAATCAATGGATGTCTGCAATGAATCTGCAACATAGGGGAATATGCAAGGAAGATCAGGGCCCTGGTTGCTGGATTTGATTTTTAAAATTAATTTGATGGAAGCCAGCTTAGAGTTTTAACACATTACTTATATCCCACATTTTGACTTACATTTTCTTATTTGTAATTCTTGTGAACTATTATTTTTTGGTAACATTCTCACTAGTTGTAAACTCCTAAATAATTAAGATCCATCTTTCCACAAATTTTTAAAGTTTGATAAATGGATACTTGAGAATGTTTTCTTACTTCTGAGATAAAATAAGTTTAGTAAAATTCTTCTGGCAGCTAGTGTGAAGGAGAGGGAACACAGGTTATCAATTTGATAAACAAATAACGTGCCACCTGCCATGTCAATTAAGAAAAAACAAAAACAAGAATGGGACAGAGTCTTCAAATTGCTTTTAGTCTATACACTCTACTGAAGAGAATAAAATAGCCATGCCATTGTTAGCACTGGGAACAGAGGTGCTTTTAGATTTTTCTTGCCTTTTTTGCTCTAGTCTACCAGTAACCACCCCACCTTTTTAAAACCTGTTTTCTCTGCCTTTTCCTTTTATGTCTCTCTTTTTACCAGTTTGTACTAGTTTAAAAGTGTCTCAGGTTAAATTTTTTGCAGTAATCTTTCTTTCCCCTGGAAGTGAGTAAAACTTCCTGTATCCCTTTTTCTCCCCACCTACGTTCCCTAAATTAGTGATTCTCTTACAAGGAATTGCTTATTATTGCCCCTGCAGTTTTGGAAGGATACCTCCAAAATATATCTTGGGGACTTAGATTTATAGAATTTGGTTTAAGCTTAAATTCTCAGTCCCAGGGTTATTTTTAGTTAAGTGGACAAACAAACTTGAAGTGTGTACATCTGATACATGACCCACTAGGGTATTTTGTTTCTCGTTATTTGAGAGTGTTCAGTTAGCACTTATAGAGCATTACCCATTGTTAGCTGGCTGTTTACATTTCTGAAAAGATGATAAGTAGATTTTTATAGGAAATAGGGAAGTTTTAAAACTTCACCTTCACATTTCATAGTAACTCAATTGATAGTCTTTTTAGATAAGTAATGAAATGCTGTCTGTGGTTGCCAATTGTTAAAACTCTACCAAGCTTCCGCAAGCAGTTGTCAGTTAAGGGAGCGTAACAACACCCACTGATAAAATTCAAACCACCAGATGTTATTTTAAGTTCTTGGGTGGTGCTATCTTTTCTTACCCTTTAAACTGCTAAGTCACATCCTGCTTTGCATTTCAATTTGGTATAAATTGGATGCAGCAGACATAGGCCTGGTATAAGATGCTCAAACAAAATTAAATACCAAAATTAAAGAAGGCAGTTCTGTGGAGTTAATCTGTCATTTCTGGATGCAAGATTATGTTAGAGCAGTGGCTCAACTCTTGCTGTTTATCCAGATCACCTGGGAGCGTCTCAGGATGCCCTTGCCCTGGCCTCATCCCCAATATCTGGACCAGTTGGTATGAAATGGCACCAGGCTTTGGGATTTTGTAGAAGCTTCCCAGGGTGATCCTGTCATGCAGCCAGGGTTGGGGTTGAGAAATGTTGTAGGAGTTGCCCCTCCCTGCCCAGCTCACAGCTTTGTCCTCCATGCTTCTCTCTACCTAGTCAAGCGCTAGCCACATCTTCATGGCTCCCTGCAGGCCACCTCTTCCCAAGCTTTTTCTCACAACTACAGCCCCACCGAGCTCTTCCCTTGTGACTGCCCACAGCACCTACCAGATGGCCCACCGTGGGGTGTATTCTGGCTTATTTCATTTGTGACATCTTCTCGCTCTGATCACAGTGGTTTTCCTCCTTGGATTAAGCTTCTTTCACTTAGTTTCTGTCACTGAAGGGTTAGCACAGCAGTGGACACATAGTAGTTACTTTATAGGATGTATACTGAATTGAGTTTTCATCAGTGTGCCTGTCTTCTTTTGGCTACCTGTTTTTCCACTTGTAGCTTCCTTTATTAGCCCACATTTACTCATAAGTATTTCTTCCTTGTAAGGTGTGGAAGGACACGTAAGAGTAACTAAACTACAGAAGGAGGAGGAAAACTCAGCCCATTTC